GAAGTTACTGCATGATTTGAAAATTATAGACATTCCACAGACATCTCACACAGGTGTTCTGCATAGTCATTGGCTTTATCCAATGGAAGGATGTGAGGACTTAATTAACAAAGTATTCTATCAGCAGCTCCAGTCTACAGACGTCTGATCCTCTAAGTGATCAGAAGTCTGGACTGATGGATCAGACATGCTGCCTAGGCCTATGCGCAAACACAAGAAGGCAAAAAAATAAAAAATAAAATAAAATAAAATTTGCACATGATTGCCAAAAACTGACGGTCCCAAATTGGAGCATGAAAATAACAGTGACATATGTAGGTCTAAGGTCTCTTTGCTTTCGGTCATATATATGTTACAGATCTGAAGTTAAAAATGCACAAAATAGATTTTTTCCCTGTTGTTTTATGAAGATGAATGAATGAGTTCGAAGTAAGTGGAGAAACTTGTAGAACCATGCGCTGCCTAATCTAGCATGTAGAGTGTTGTTTGTCAAAATTAATATAGCTTTTCAAACTCAATGTGTTCAACATGTCTTCACTAAGTAAATGGGCCAAGTGGATATCAAAAAAGATGTGAGCTGAATTCCATGCATTATACATGTCCTTGAATTCGACCGTGCAAATAGCACAAAAAATATTGTTATGTGGGGAAGTAACTTGATATGTGAAGTATGCAATAATTTAGAAAGTCAAGATAAAGATTGTTCGACATTTTTTTTTCACCGAGAAGAGAACAAATCAGCGAGAGAAGATTTGAATTTCCCGTAAGCATGGCCAGCTGAAAATGAAAATGGGATAGGCTGATATTAAAGGATCGATCTCCTTGAGCTGAACTCTTAAACCTTCGTGGAGACCACTAGTTGCATTTGCTGTAGGTCGTTCGGTTTGCCCCGCATTTATCTATCTCTACCCATTCTTCTAGCCTTTATCAAAACTTCTCACACCCGATCGAAGGAGAGATCGATAGGGGACTTGGCGGATATTGTCTGACAATATTTCCCTCCTTCAAAGTGTAAAGCCCTGCCGACGGATAATTCTTGCTATTCGCACTAACTTTGAAATTTCATCCTGCACTCCTCTTCAAATCAGAGGTTGTTCTAAAACAGAGAACATATCCACTCATAACCTATGGAATGCAGACCGTCCCGACAGTTTATTCAGCCGTGGTGATGTACTGAATCAGCCGATAATGCTATACCTTCAGTCATATCTTCGAGTACTTGTCAGGAAGATGGGACTGTTTTGAACTATGTCATTCAGAGTAGAATCATACTACGAAGAGGCGCTACAATTTCAATGAGCGAACCTTTGTTACGTTAAGCACGCGATTCGTTGGTCGAGAAGAGATTCATGGTTATAAACCTGTCATGTTCTTATGACAAAGCACGAAGGTATTTCAGATGTGTTTTATCGCGAATACAGGCTTGAATTCTGGAATCCTACTTTGACATACGGAGGTACAAATGTAAAAGACCAGAGAAGGTAAGTCTAGACCCTGGACTGGCCTATCGTTTGATACGCGTATATGATAATCTTATATAATCACGACCACGGAAACAACGTGCACGTGCACTTCTGCTCCCAAAGTGCATGTGTCAGACATGCACTTTGGAAGAAGAACGAGAATGAAGCATGGCAAACAGCACTAACCTCTCCTTCGGAGGCACCTTCTGAAGATTCATGAAGCACACACAGTCCACGACATCACAATCCTTCAAGGCGGGTCTAGCATAGGCAAGTTCTGAGCTTAGTGCCCTTATGGGTTACGAGTGAGTTATCAAAATACTAAAAAGAGCACCAAGTTTTCAGGAATCATTATTGTTTCGTAAGTGTTTCAAACGTTAATATTCAGCTTTACAATGAAATATCAATCCTTTGTTTATTGATGGAATTTATCAACCTTGGTATCACTGGTGCATGTATGAATCTAATATCAGCTATGTGCTTACCCATAAAGATCGTCTACGGCAGCTTAACTAGCCCTCTGAAACCAGAGTGAAATTGCAGCTCGTAATTGAGACTAGCAAAACTCATAAAGCTCATCCGATTCATTCCCTCTTTGTGAGGCTTCATGGGGTCTTCCTATTCATTTTTCTTTTCTACTTGGTTCTCGGAACCTTTTGTTACTTACGTTTGCACATTCTGAGAGAGTAAACGGTCGACTCTTCCAGACCATCCCCGCACTTGTACATGTAGAATTCTGCAATCAAAACTACATGGAGTATGTAGATCTAGACCGATTTGCTCTCCAATTCTGGTCCTGATAATTGCACGAACTTAAGTTCAGGTACGTACGATGACGGCTGTGATTGAAGTGACTTGATGACCACAAACTGTCTTAGATATTCCTCGCAGGTGTCTCAGAAATTTTGCTCTGGATCTTTGATCAGGTGTTTATGATGAGGGCGAATGGATATGGATCTCTTGAAATGTGCTCTGCATTCCTTCATCCTGCCAAATTTGTCACTGACTTTCATTTCACGGCTTGCTTGACGGACGAAGATCATTAGCCTCGACTCTAATCACGCCTTGTGGAGAAAGTCCATCAGCTCACTTCTGTCTTCTAGCTTGAGTGAGATCGTCAGCCGCTATTGCGTGACACTGCATATTCAGTTGCTTGCATTTGTCGAAAAACTTTCGTGCAGAGAATGTTCGTCTGCATGGATATTTTTTGTCGTCAGCAACGTTGTTTTCATCAGTAAAACTACGAAAGATTGCAGAATTCTAATGCGATGTCAAAAAAAATATACTCACACAATTTCCCATGAGCCTCGAATGATAAGTTGCTCCATTAGGCCTCCCGATGGTATTGACAGGTCCATACAAGCAGAAGTCTACAACACTTTCTTGATTGGCAGTCAGCCAGGGTGGACAGTCGTCATCATCGCCCAACACCTGAAATAAATTCAAATCAGACATGTTGAGAATTGGACACAAATTCACGTACTAAACCAGAAAGGACTGACTCGCTGGAGGGGTTCACAGGCAAGATATCTTGAATGTGTTGCATCCTGCTTGCATTCGCACGTACATGGTTATAATCAGCCATTGCTCAGATGCAATAGGATGCGTTTGATGAAGTTGATCTTTAAATTGGCAACGTCCTATTTGTGTTGCTCGTCAGAAGCCGAAATCTGTAAGTTGGGAAAGAGTATGATCAGTCTGAGACTAGAGGTCAGATCCTCTAGCTTTTGTATGAGACGAATTAAACGGGAAGGAGGAGTATTGTGAAACAATTTGCACGTGAAGAGTATTGCAGCGTCCAATTTGATGCTGATATTGGATGAGAAGTTGCATTTGATGCAAGGAGTTGATCGCAATTTATAGGAAACTGGGAGCCGCCTTCAATTTGGACTCAGGTATTTCATTACACGGTATGATTTGTCAATACGTGACAACGACGACCGAAGCGTCATTCTGTACGCTAATTATGAAATAAACTAATCCTGATAATTCTCATAAAAAATAGCTTTACAAAAAAGCAGCAACTTTCAGCTCCATTGAAAGTTTTAATCTCCTACGAATTCCTGCATCTGGCTCTGCTAATGGCACGATTTCGAAGTGCGACTTGTTTATGGGTTGGGTAGATTCATGAGGGAGATTCTCGTGGACTAGAGTTGACATGCCTTATGAAGGAAGAGTCAGAGGCCACTGGGTTTTAGGAGAACAAGAGAACTATTGATCCTCTCCTTTGCCAGACACTAGGAAGGACTTTTTGCTATGTACGGTTCTTTTATTCAAAATTCAAGGGAGACTCTCGACAAGAGTTGAATGCCTATGCATGTCCCGTTGCAGATCGCTTGACCGTTGACCTTGAGCTTTTCCTGCAGTTCTGTCGTTCTGGTTAAACAGTGATTCTTCTGAAGCGAGTAAAGAATGGACAGTACAGAAATGAGCGTGTGGAAACGACTTTCGCTCGACACTACGGCATTCCCCTTCGGCTGCCACATACGGCCAGTATATATATATCTTCCTGATCATACATCCGCTCGCATCCACAGATCTTGAAACTATCATTTGAAGCCGATTCTAATGACGAGATTCAACGTAGTATGTCTCTCAATCTGGGAAATGATCACACTTTCAGGATAGCAACCGTTCCAAAGTTGCGCACAACGCAGTGGCTTTTGGCTGGATCCCGCCAGTCTCAAGGAGGAACTCAAAAACGGGTGGAAAACATGTCTTGAGATGAAGACTTGCTATTTGTCTTTGAATATTCGGAGCAGATGATTTCAATTCTACTTAAAACTCAGAAGGTTGCACAAATCTATATAACTCAAATTTATCTCACCCTATCGATAGAATCAAACTGTATCGGACCTATTATCAATTCGCAAACTCCATGAAGGAGAACATTAGAGAACTGTAATCAATCCAGGTTTGGAGTCTTCACTTCTAATCGCAGAGCTCACTTTGATTTCACGAGAAAGTACACACTGAATATCTCCCGTCAGAGAAATTCAGCAGTCAGAATTTCTACTTTCTGTATAATCAAAATTTGCCTCAAAACGGCCAATGTACATCCCTTGCTATACACAGGAAATCTCCGAGCCTACGATGTACATTTTGAAACCATTTTCGAAGTTAATAACATGATATGTTCATCAGCCGGTGGATCACACTCTATGATCAACCCGACTCAGAATGAAAATAATAGCAATGATCTAGTTAGATCGTCAGCATTCCTTCGATCCTACCATACCAATAAACACACGTTTAGCTGTTGTCACATTCGTTCATCGGACAAACTGTAAATTGAAGTGTGCGCGATCCAAAATCTCTGACACCAGCTGGGGATAAATGCAGAACAAAGCGAACATGATAGGGACCTTCTGCATACTAGAAGGTGCCGAGAGTGTACAGTTCAGCTCGAGGGGAGCAAGCGATCGAATTTACGCTCCTAATTCATGATCTAATTATTCTGCGATTGAGAGTGAGGGAAAGTCAACAGCAGTAGACACATTGGCAGATCAGACCGGGCGTCGTATACGGAGGAAACGTGAGACAGAAATCCGACTAACATAGATTTAAGAAAGACAGAGCTTCAGTTAAATTTTGGCGGCCTCCGCAGCCATTTGACAAACAAAACTTTCGAGTTTGTGAGACTTAGATCTTCGCTACGAAGCGAGATGTAAGAGCCTCTTCAAGCAGCACACTCTTTTTTACATTTCCCAGTACAGTGCATCTGCGACTAGAACTAGCGCCACTGCATCCAAACTACGTCTAGGCAAACTGCTCATCGGGACCACCGAAGCGAAAATCTCGGTTTCAGTTGATCCTCGAAGAAGGAAAAGTGACTCGCGGTGCATCAAAAATCCTACACGGATTGGAGAGGGCCTCCGATGCGCTGGTATCCGGATTCAAACTGGTTCTGGGAGAAGGAGAAGTGATCGACAGACACGGTCTGCTGGTGGGCCTGATTGCAGGAGAAGTACAGCAGAGTAGACGACATCACGCTGAACTGGATGACCAAGGACAGGAGATTTGCCAACACTGCCAGGAACAAGTACTTGGCCCATACTCCTGCGCAAGCCAAGGTTGCGGCGCTGACAACGAAGGCCAAAATTGCTTGAGGGATGGCGAAGATGGTGGCCAGGCCCAGTGCAACACACCATTTGCTCTTAAGGAGCTGCAGTCCCTTGGAGAAGGCAGGCAGACCGCAGATCTGCTGGAACACGGTCACTCCGTTGGCCATCTGGATGCTCGTGCAGACGAAGAACATCAGAATTACGGCCACTGTGAAGGTGAGAAGGCACACGATGGGAAGAGGCAAAAACGAGACGGAAGCGAAGGTCATGAGCACGGAGCCCAGCAGGAACACGATGACTGCTACGATGCCGAAGAAGACGTAGCCCCAGAGACCAGTGACGATGAGCCCGTTCCATAGATTCGGCAGAGCTGCCAGAACATCCTTAAAGGTGATGGTCTTGCCAGAATAGATGCTCCCCACGGCGAAGAAAAGCGCGCCTATCACGTTGACTGAGAAAGCGAATCCGAGCAAGAGCAGGACGATGAATGCCACCACTGCTTGCCACTCGTCGGGAGTGGGATCTCCTCCTAGCTGAAAGTTCGAAGGGGGAGATGGCGGTGGGACGGGCATGAAATCGTGAACCAGCTTCTTGATGTAGTACTGGTTCCATAATCCGAGGACGGTGAAGGGGAAGACGAGTGTGAGCTGGATCCAGGTGAAGGTACAAGCATGGCCCCTAAAAATCTCGACTGCCCTCTGGACGATGTCCACGGGTCCCCACGTTCCATCATCCTGCACATTCTGCTGCTTTCCTGAGGTGGACTTGTCGTTGATAGCCTTGATATCGATCCCCATGGTTTCTAGAGGTCGGCTGCTCTGCCGGTCACTGGAATCGAGCCCTTCAATCCCAACCGAAGCTGCTGCTGCTGCTGCTGCTGCTGCTGCTCGAGACAGTCAATTCACGCTTTGGCTTCCCACTCTCGAGCCTAGGAGAGAGAGAGAGAGAGAGAGAGGGCTGCTGCTGCTAGTGATCGGCAGGAGAGGAGATCGAGACTGAAGCTATCGGTTCTTGCTGGACCATCTTCGGAATGCAGGTTTTAAAGCAGAGCCGATCGTGAGCCCGTGACGCGTTCGAGATCTGCATTCTCAGAATATTTTAAACAATTCACTACCAGTCAAAACCTGTTCACGAGGGCAAGTGAGATGTCTACAGGATGAACCTAGTGCATCCTCCGGGAATTGTGGAGGCACGTGGTTGAAGGTCCAAAGACAATGGATAATGAGCAGCAAACAGAGATATGGCAAGCGAGACGAAAAGCTGGAGAACCCTTTTCTGAGATTTGCTGGGCCCGGACTGCACTGGTTTGCTAACTCGGCACTCCGAGAGCTCGGATCCGCAAACCGGTGCTGGAAACATTCTGGAGATGGCAGAGCAGGGAACGGGAAAAGGCTCCGGCCATTAGCCCTCGTGAGGATTCAGAAGATGACGGGCTCGGGCGGGCAGCAGCGGAGGCAAACGTGCCAGGACAATCCGAGCTGGGGCCCTTCTCTTCATTAACATTATCCTCCACGATGATGAGTCGGGCCTGTCTCATTTCTAATTTATCCCATATTCCAAGGGCCTCCAGCTGACTTCACTGGAGACGAGAATCTCCCGACGGATGACAGTCGACATTCGTGAGATTGCTCGAACTGTACCACGGTGAGCTCGATTCTGTGCCTGTGCTGCACATCTGGCCTTATCTTCTGATTCTAATTTTCAGACAATAATTGTCCAATTCCATTTTAAACCCCCATAATTAATTGTGGCTAAGAACAGATCCTGCTGTGTCGGTGGCTCGCCCCAAGAGGAGAAGAACGTCCTGTATGCCTGCGGATCATCGTCATTCGATGCAAGCTGATCGCAGTCATTGTTCGCGACGTCGAACATTTTATTTTTTCTTTGGTGCGTACACAGAACACGGGATCCAATGACCGTTGGGAAGTCGTTAAAGTCTACCCATCCTTCTTGCCATATTTTGAAAAAAATATACTTGCTTGTGCTTGTCGACGGGTCGTTTGGTACGGTTCCGGAAAGAGAGGCGCTCATGTGAGATATATGTGTGTTGTCCCAGTTTAGTTACAGGTGGAGTTTGGTTCACTTTGAATGAGGGCATGGTATACTTTAGTTCTTCTTGTACTGTAGAGAGATATCAGCCCAAACCATATATCAATAAAGCACTTTACATTTCATGGAGCTACATGTTAAGTTCTAACTCACAAGAAGCATCACTTTTAGTGATGTCAACCATAGAGATCAAATTATATAAGTCAACCTTATTGCTTTTGGAGAGCATGGTAATAACATACGATATCATGAGAAGATGAATTATTTTTTATTACTCAACTACATCAAGAAGCAAATTCATGCATAATATGGTCCAAATGATCAAAAATTAATTTGTAGAAAATTGTGCGACATGTAATCACCCTCAATCCATAAACATAATCAATTGAAAACATGAGCATCTATCTGATATATCAAATCTATATCTATCTCCTATTTTATTTTTTAAATGGTAGATAGTTATCTACCTTACACTTGACAAAATCCTTAAATACGATAATAATAAATGAACTGCAAATTTCACAGACAAGATTCTTTAAGTGTAAGGGTAAGTAGATTGATCGCATCTTTGCTTCTTACGATTTACATTTTATGGAGTTTTGAAGTTCAATTTGGATATATTTTTCATATTGAGCTAGTATTTATGGCACTCAATAATATAGTATATCACAATTTTTTCTAAAATTTAAAATTTAATGATTCAATTTTTTAAAGTAAGAAAAAATTGCAAGTTTTGTGTATGCAATAAAATCATAAAACTTTATAACTTTGTATACAAAATGAGAACATAAACTTCAGTGTATGCAGTAAAAATTGGGATATCGGCATGATGTTGATCGGTATAATTTTGATAAATTTTTTCATTAAATAATTGTAACCATAAAAAAACTAATTTAAATTTAAAGGATAAATAATAATTTTTTTAAAATAAATATTTGAACGTAGAACAGTACGATCGAGAGCAAGGCTCCTTAACCGCCAGGCTGGATTGCCAAATCCGAAGCTACTACGAGCCCTCCGAACCCCAATTACATTTTCATTTGTGATATTATAAATCTTTTATATCCAAATAAGTATTTATGAATAAGAGAATGTTTTAAAGTATTGGTTTTATAAATTTGTAACTTTTTCTATCTATAAAATTAATTTATTAATTTTTTGATCATTTAATATTTTCTCCTTATAATTTGGATTGTTGCTTCAATCTTTGAATATTACTTTTGCAAGAAAATCTGATATGAACCAATGATGAGGAAAATAAAGAAAAAAAAATTCAAAAAAATATCAAAAGGATGTTTTCACATTCATAAATATAGACACCTGCAAGGCAAAGCAATGTTCAAAAATTATAAGGAGAGAAAAGATGGCATCATTGTTAAATGGCTGGTAATTGCTAATAAGCCTACGTCAAGAAAATAGTGCAGATTGATTGATTTTTCTCAATGATTGATCTTATTGCAACTTGATAAGCATACATATTTTTCGTATTTTCATCATCTTCATCCGCGTCAAATCATAGTTTCGAAGTCATATATTTAAGAAATCATATCATTGAAAAATCATAGTATACAGAGCAATACTATATATCTGCTGGGATTTACTTGTCTTAAAGCTCCACAGTAAAAAATGGGCTTAATTTTCTTTCATATGCATACATCTTCAGAAGGTTTACGACACTTTTTTTTCATAAGGCTACATGACCTTACATGAAGTACTGTATATTTACTCTGGACATGGATGGAATCATTTCCTTCACATGTACTACCACAACATATCAGAAAAATATCTCATGAGAGTTCCAACATGTAATCACGACTAAGTAGTCGTGATTACATGTTGTCTCTTTGTTCACCAATTAGATTCGAATTGTACCATCTATCTTGATGAGCAGACAGCTTTAGCAAGTTGTAAATTAAGTTTTTAGTGAATATGATCACGTCTCATATTATCAGGGCAGGCTCTTGCACTAGGTCACGAATATTGAGTCAATCATGCATCGAGACATTCTTAGTCGGTTCATGTAAATTTATTTTAGAGAAGAAGATTTGTTTGGGTTCATCGTTTTCACTTCTGATTGTGAAACTACGTTTGATGTAGCTTGGATCACGGCCGAGGTGGTGCGTATAGTCTAGAAACCCTTGAAAACATTAATGACAATGTCTTTGATATGTCAAGAGGGGTTGAATACCTCGAAGAAAACTTTGTATGCTTTGTAATCCAAATAAGAGTCAAAGATAGGTCAATATTTGGATAAACATGTTTATTACAGAACATATGTTTTACAAATTTTAAGCAAATTATTGATGTTTACAAATGCAAATGAGGTTTTCTGGCAATATAATAGTTTTCAAAGATTATGTAAAAAAAGTGATCGCACTAAAAAAATTTAAGATAAATGTAATACACCTATAGATATATGTATTTCAGTCAAAGTGTTTCACAAAGTCAAAAATTCAATAATTCTCCATATAATATTACCATATGTTCTCCATATATATATACTTTGTATCACAATATCAGTATTGATGATTAAAAAAATTTAATGTATTTAGATAGTAACGATTTCAAATATATATTTGTAAATTGTGATATCTGGTGTTTCGATTTTGGTGGATCATGAAGTATCATTTATCATTGAGCATACATGCTCACATAGTCCACAATATTTTCATGTGCTACAATTTAGGTAACAAACTCCTCGTTAGAAAATGTGGAATTGAGTGAGATGATTTATCAACGAACTCTTGACTATATCATTTCGGTGAGAGGATAGGACGGTATAAAGTTAGTCAGGACAGTAAGATTGTGATACAATTCAAGTGTTCTAAAGGTTGTTTTTCTTTCATTATTGCGCGGGAAAGTAGGTGGATACTTGTCAGGTTGTGCTACTATTTTAGAGCTGTGCTACCACCATAAGATAAGATAGTAATACAACCTAAATATCCTATATGCTGTTTTTCTTCAATCATTGTGTGGTAACCCAAGTGGATTATTGTTAGGTCGAACACACTCTTGTAAAACTATGGAAAACTACTTTTGTGTACTAAAGTGTAGATGCAGTAAGATCACTCCTTCGAGATGCAGCAAGATCAATCCAAATGAATTTTGACATTCTTGTAGGCAATTTTCAAAGACTGTACCTATGATTTCAATTTTAATTAGAATCATCCAAGTGTGTATAAGATATGTACATAAGGTATGTATCTACCTCATTCCATGAGGTAGATAGACGGATCAATGTGAATGCTTTAAATCAGCTACACGGTTAAACACCAAGCACCGCTTTGTCTGCCAACTATACGAAAAGAGCAGTAAAGTCTCTTGGAGCCCAGAAAGTGAATAAACTGTGACCTTTTGCCGAAAGCTCCGCCTTACGTGGCACTGAAAAAGGGCCACGGCACATTGCCTCGAAACGGTATTAATTCCCTTAAACACTGGGGTCGAATAAAACAAAATCGTGGGTACGCGCTCGGACCCTGTGACACAGTCTGCCCATACAGGACAGCGCGCTTCGCGCATCGCGTCGCTCACGTGGCTCGTATACGACACGAGCTCTCGCGCTATCGAGTGGGCGATTATGTCTCGGGCACGTCAACGTCTGCGACTTCGAAGCAAATTCTTCCGTGTTCTGGATCCCGGCGATCCGCTGGAATCATTCGGGAGGTCGGTGATGGGTTCGATTCATTAAACACTTCAGACAATGTCTGTGTAGATTTCTCATTTGGAATCAACGAGATTCTCTCTGCGCTTTACTTGCTGTAAGCTTTATTATGTTCAAGTTCTTCACGAGTGATTTCTTCTCTATTCCTCTTGAGATTCCTTGTTCGTTTCCGATCATCCATACCTGTCTCTCAAGCACAAACGATTCAGAGTGTGGAACGTGTTTTCCGGCGGGACACAAGCTTCTGGCTATCCAGGTATCCATTCCGACTCTCACGATGAACAGACTTAATTCCTTTGTTCA